ACATGAAAACATTCGTGAGTGGGGTCGTAGGTGCCTTCGTCGTCGGAGTCAGAGTAGCCAAAGCAGTAGTCGCTTGCGGCCAAGAATTGGTGCAAAGCCCCAGGGTTGTGGAGTTTGGAGAAATCCACCCCGGGCCATGCCTCGTCCTTGTCCGAGGAGTCGGAGTGGGTGCTCAGGCCGAGAGCGAACCGACGGCGTTCCCGAGGGTGCTCATGAGCGCGCGCAAGTAAGCGTAGGCATAAGAGGCGGCGGCATTTCTCAACCTAAAGGGGTATGGGGACGGTGCCGCCTCCAGATTCTCACTTGAAATGGGTCGGCTCTTCGTGGAGTGGTAGAGCGTAGTGGACGACTGGCATCGCCGCGTACCATAGGCAAGTCTCCTTTGTCCATGCTCAGGCTAGATGTGTCCCCGACCAGGGACCCTATGCCAACAGCTGGTCGTAGGATATCGGCGGGGGGTGGCGTGTCGCCCCGGATTCACGTAGCATCGGGGTGGCCTTGTTCGTGCCGTGCTTGGCGAGCGCGGCGAGAGCGGCCGCCCGGACGCCGCCCGTGCCTGGGCTGCCGGGGCGTAACTTCATCGTTGGTTGGTGGGGCTCGAGGAGTGAGGAGCACCATGTCGTACTCATGCCCTAGAGACATGAACTCTAGGCTCCCGAACCAAACCACGATGCCGAGACGCAATGGTCGTACGGGGTCTGCCATCCGGAACCTGCTGGGATGACGAAACCGACACGCAGCGGCCCCTACCTGGCGCGCCAACTGTCGGTGTTTCGGACCGTGGGGTCCTCAACCGACTAGTAAATTTGTTCTGCATGCTCCTGATTCCGGATGGTGATGCAAAGAGACACAAGGTTTATACTGGTTCGGGCAATCGAGGCCCTACGTCCAGTCTGAGAGATCGATCTTGTATTCCTTGCACCGAGGTGCTCGTAGTAGGGGGTTACAAGCTAAAGGAGAGAGGGAGCTGGTCCCAGGTCTCGGCAGGGTGTCGTGCGGGCCGCTTGAGACGTTGCTCTCAGGCGGCAGGGATGTGTGTGTATGTGTGTGTGTGTTACCAAGTTTTTTTCTGGCCCCCCCTAAGTGGCCCAAGTCCTCTCCTTTTATAGTTGAAGGGAGGACAAGGACCGTACATGTATTACTATGCGGCGTCGTGCCAATAGGGGTGGCACGCTCGAGCCTCGTGGCCTGTCCTCGTGGTGGCGTGGTCGCCGGAGTGGTCCATCCTTGGAGTATCGGGCGGCGTGGTCGCCCCATCGATCCTCGTCGCGTCGGGGAGCCCCGGAATGCCTCGGAGTGGACGCGCGCGTGACGCGTGCAAGCCATCGTGGACGGACTGTGCGAGGCCGAGACTTGGTCGGTGCCGAGGCCGGCATCATGCGTGGGGGGTCTCGGCGCAGCACGAACCCCAAGATCGCCGAGGCCCCGTGTACAAAGGTCGCCGAGGCCTTGAGCGGGCGGCCGATCATGGGTACAACGTTTGGACACAAGTGGTGGTCGGTAATCCCCGTCGCACCTGTCCCGGCCGGTATGGCGCCGATCGTGGACACACAGTGGTAGGACACAATGGCGGTAATCCCGTCGTGCTCTGTCCCGGCCGGTATGGCGCCGATCGTGGACACACGATGGTAGGACACGATGGCGGTAATCCCGTCGTGCTCGCCCCGCCGCGGTATGGCGGCCGATGCGACCTGGAATCGCGTCGCCATCCTGTGGCGTTGAGCCACCGTCCGGTGAGATTGCGGGGAGTGGTTGAAGCATTAATGAGACATGACGAGTTGTCGGGAGGGTCGACCGAGACGGGGGGCGACGGACCGCGGACGAGCCGGCCTCGAGCGACACGGAGAATGAGGCCTCGCGCGAGACGGAGGTCAGGTTCCTTGGCGAGGCCTTACGCGAGACGCCTCGCGCGATACGGAGAATGTACCCCTGCCGAGGCCTTCCCTGGAGAGCCTCGGGCGAGACGGAGACAGCGCCCCCTGCCGAGGCCTACCCTGGGGAGCCTCGCGCGAGGCGGAGTTTGTTCCGAGACCTCCTGCTCGAGGCTCGAGGCGAGGTGGAGGAGGGCTCGGTCGTGGCAGGTGAGGGGCCCACGGCTTACCTTCTAGCTTTATTTTGATGTTTGCTTGGGGTATTCCGTTCTAAGGTACCCGACAGATACAATGACCAAATGACCCTAAAGACCATCCATGAGTTATTTGAACATTATTTGATGCTTTATCGTTTGTAATATCATGTTTTATATTTGAGGGGGTCATGTAGTTAACCTTAATATGTTAGGGAGTTACGTAGACTTGAATATGTCAGGCCAGTAAAACTACTTAGGGGGGTATTTAGATGATTTTTAATAGTATGAGAGATGAATACATAGCTCTACAGGTGAGAAGGTAAAATAGACGCCCACCGATAGAGACAGAGAAAGGGGTCGAGTAGACCTTTTCCGTTTCGAGACTTGTCTCGAGCGCCCGTCTCCTGGGGAATGCAAGAGTCGCTCCTCGCGCCGCCGCCTCGCGAAGCGTCGCATCCGTCCGCGATCGCCCCAAACCGGACACGCATTTGGCCGACAATTCGAGAAAGTACGTAGGTATCACTGCTTATGGTCCTACTACTTTTGTCAAAACTGGATAAAATATGGTCCTACTAGTCAGCTTAGGAAGGCCGTTAGTTGGTGCGTGCAGTAACGGATAAAATATGTGCTGCGACACATGTGCACAGAAGCTGCTTCGCTTACAACCTTGTCAGCATCCAAAAAAAATGAATGCATGATAAGAAATAATAATATAGTCTTGCTCCATCCGTCCCTAAATATCTATCATTTTCACTTTTTCGAGAAACAATTTTGACTAAATATATATTAAAAAATAATATTTATGATTAATAATTAGTATCATTAATAGATATTTGAATCTAGTTTTTTAATAAATTTATTTGAAGATATAAATGTTGTACGTATTTTTTTATAAATCGAGTCAAAGTTATCGTCACGCAAATCGTAGCGACTAACATTTAAGGACAGTTAAGAAATAATAACTATACATGCCTTGTTCGTTTCTCTTATAATCCGTCTTTTTAGCTCGTTTTTTTTCGACCGGTGTCACGTCAGGTGTCACATCGGGTGTCACATCGGGTGTCACATCAGGTATCACATCGGGTGTCACGTCGCGTGTCACATCGTGTGTTACGTCGGATGTTACATCGAGTGTCACGTCGCGTGTTCCGATAGTAATAATAAAATAAATTACAGAAGTCGTCAGTAATCTCCTGGACGGATTTATTAAACCTAATTAATCCGTCATTAGCGCAATATTTACTGTAGCACCATATTATTAAATTATAGACTAACTAGTCTTAATAGATTCATCTCGTAAATTAGTCTCAATCTGTATATTTAGTTTTATAATTAATCTATATTTAATACTCCTAATTAATATCAAACATCTAATATGATAGGAACTAATCAGCTAGAAGGGAACCAAAACCTGGCCTACTACAAGGGGATGCTTTTCAGTCGCACCCGTCGACAAGTAGAAAGTTTGTAGTGCGTAGGCACCACGGCAGCCTCACTCGTGCGTCTGCCGTGGAGGCAGGAATGGCGGCGTTTTGCGGCGGCCGTGGTCCGTGGAGTTCCGCTCTGTACCGAGTACCGACGCTCGGTCCAACAGACGCCGCGAATTCACGCGTTCGCCAGGCGCGTAGGTGCCGGAGTCGACGTCGATCGCCACATTTGGAGAATTTGGAGGACGAAACGAACGTGACCGACTCGTGGCCCTAGGTGCCGGACCTGCAGGAACTGGTGTGCGCCGTGAGTTTTCTCTATTCGTGTGCGTCGTGGGTGGCCGCAGCCTCCCGCGGTCCCGGTAGTAATCCCCTGGGTCTACCAAGCTGCCAGGCAACCAGGCAACGTTGATCTGGACCGTTGAATCGATCCAATCACCATATTGGTTTTAATAAAACAAACAAACATGTGCTAACGACGACCAAAACAAATCGTTTGTACAATGTTTGTGGAGATTGATGCCCTTTTCTTTTCGAGTCCCGCTTGCTTTTGCAAATGTTCCTGTCTATCATCTGTTAGGGCCTGTTTGGAACGCAGAAATTTCGCAGGAATCGCGTAGGAATTTTACAGAAACCAATTCAATTTTACATAAAAAACACAGGAACAGGAAATATTTCCCGTATTCCAAAAATACCCTCAATGAACACTCGAGCTAGCGGTGGGTTTCCGACTGGCTTTGGCGTGCGTGATGGCAACGTGTCGACGTCACGTACTCGTGCGGTAAACTTTCTAGACGCGCGCGCGGGCCTGCGCCCCCCACCCCGATCCGAACCACCGCGCGCGCCCCACGCGGCCCCGCCACCCCGGGTGCGCGCGCGCCTGCGCCCCCCACCCCCGAACGCGACCCGGGCACAGGCCAAGCTCTCCCCAGTCCGCCTTATATATAGAGAGAGCCAACCTCGCCGCTTGCTGCAACGCGCCTCTCCCTCTCCGGTGTCTTGTTCTTGTCTGCTCCCTCACGGCCCTCTCCTTCCGTTGCGTTCCTCTTCTGCCGTTCTGCGGCCGGAGGCCCGGAAGTTCTTCCTCGGTGAGAGCAGAGCAGACACGGGAAGCTCCGCACCCCGCAGCATCAGCGTCGCGCTCGCTCGCGGCTCAGCTCAGGCCCTACACGTCCTCACTCCGTCGATCGGTAACGTTCCTTAAACTATTGCAAGCCAATTTTTATTCGCCCTCAAAATTTGTCCCACGGATTATTTCTGTCAAGAGATGGGATTTCGTTTAGTGTGCCGGTCAACCGGACGGTTGGTCTCTGTTGTAGTACAGTTCTCTACAGCGTCGGAACTGTCCTTCTCTTCAGACCTTAATAATTCTTCACCCAATTCTGCACTACATGACGATGATCACGTGACATCCTTTGTTATGTGGTTCTTCCTCCGACCTTGAAAAATGTTTCTTGTTGCTCTTCCGATTAACAGAGGGCTACGGTGCCGCGCCGCCGCAGCCGATGAACACACCGGGAAGCAGGGCTATGGCCATCGGCTTCACTGTCATGCTGCTTTCTGTCAGCGTGGGCATCCACTCCGGCGCCGGCGCCTTCGGCTTACTCCTCAGCTTCACGGGGGTTCTCGCCGGCGCCAACCTCGTCACCGTCGGCGTCCGCATGGCCGACCACCGGGTGCCCACCGTCCTGGTGGTGTTCGAGTTCGACGGTGCACGTGCTCTCGCAGCGCTCATGCGCCGCAACATCGTCGTCGTTGGTCTCGTCATGGCTTCCTGTGCCTTCACGGCGGTCTCCGGCGAGGCTGGCCCCGTGCTCTGCTTTGCCATGTTGGCTCTGCTCCTGCTCGCGGTCTCTCTCATCAACATCGGAGCTCGTGGTGAATAACTGGTTTTCAGTTCTTGAATGCATTGATAGTTTGATACTGAAACCACACCGTTCTCTGAAGCCCTGAATTGCCACTATGATCGGAAATTAGCCATTGCCGCTGCAGCTGCCGTTGCCACTGCCCCTGCATCTGTCTTAAACCTAGTACAATTGTGGGAGAATCTCTGTCATGTGCTTTTGTTGGAGTAATAAACTTTGTGCTACTTGTATTGTAAGCGTTTTTCTTTCCTACTTGCCATGCATATTGCAATACTGTTCCTTTTGAAAGACGATGTAAGTTAGTAAACTGTCTGTGAGCATTTGATCAAAAGCAATCGTGTCCGTAACTTGAACATCTTGTTTTGAGTATGAATGTCTGTTTTTTCATATGTCCTAAATTTGATGAATGAAATGTCACTGAACTAAGCATCCATTACGAGATATTATCAGAGCATTCTGTGTTGCTCAGTGTATTTTGGCCACGAGTTGCTAGCTGGAGAGAGAGTAGTTGAGAAGTTCAAAATTCAAATCCTATTCAGGGCCACTGCATATTGTGCTACTAGCAAACCTGACGCCCGACACACTAAACAAACCAAACCAACGATTCTATATATCCAAAGACCAGAACCCATACGTACACCACACACATGCCGGATTATTCCCCATTAAATCTCAGATCACATCATATCACATCCTCCTTTGGCTGCTTCAGTCCACTCAGCATCGGACAAGACTACACACGGAGCACCCGCAGGATAACCAGAAACAGGCTGCCCAAAAGCAGAGCGAAGAGTTGAAAGGCGACAACCGGCGAGCCCGTTGACAGCCACGGAGCAGGCGCCAATTCCGACGAACGCGAGCAGAAGGCGCAGGTATTCGCCCACCATGCCGATGCTGGTGCCTTGTTTCCCTCGGCGTGCCTGGTACACGGGATAATCTCCTGCAACGTACACCGCGCCGGCAGCGTCGGCGAGCAGGTTGGCAATCACCTCGCCACGTCCGGCGCCCGGGCGGAACTGCCAGGCGTGGTTGTCGTACACCACGCCGACGCCGTCGGGGAGCAGGTTTACAAGCACATCGTCGCGTCCGACGCCTGGGCGGGGGAGCTGCAGCACGCGGTGGCCGAAGTTGTCGTATACCGCGCCGACGCCATCGGGGAGCAGATGGACCTCGCCGCGTCCGGCGCCTGGGCGAGGCTGCAGCTGGTAGTGGCCGTAGTTGTCGTGCACCGGGACGACTCCCTCGGGGTCGGGGAGCTGCAGGCCGGCGACAAGGACCTCGTCGCCCGGGCCGGGCTGTCGCCAACGACCATGCCGGGGCCGGGTTCGCCGTGGAACACGGCGACAAACAGCTCGCCACATCCTGCGGCGGTGCGGACAATGCGCGGGAAATCGGAGTTGTGGTACACCGCGCCGAACTGGCCGTTGAAGATGTCGCGGTGCAAGAGTTGGCTGTCGAACGTACCGGTGTGGACGTGGGCCTCGCCTCCATGGACCGCGCCAGCCATGACGAGCTCGGTGGACTCCACCACCGTCGTCGGCCTCGCCGTCTCGCCTCCGTGGTCCATGTTCCCCAGCTCCTTCTTCTCCGGCAACGCGAACACCCGCACGGAGCGAGTGGTGAGCTTCCGACCCGCTTTGGTTGCTCGCTTGCTTGAGCTGTAGAGGACTCTTCTTTGAACGGATCTGCCTGCGCACGGCGTTCTTAAATAGAGGCGTCGAGTCAGGCCCGATTTGCTGCCGAGATCGATGGACCCCACCCGACGAGCCCGACCCCTCCCACGGCGAACCCGATTTCGTGGGCATTCACGCCGTCGGTTGCGAGTGAACAACTTTTTTCCTTTTTGAGGGGAAGTTGCTAGTGAACAACTGTTGAACCTGAGCTAAAGTCTAGAGATGTCATGTCGAGTGTCATATGGGGTTGTCACATCAAGTGTTTGACAGTAATAATAAACAAATTTCATAAGTTCTCACTAATCCGCGAGACGAATTTATTAAGCCTAATTAATCAATCATTAGCACATCCTTACTGTAGCACCACATTATCAAATCATGGACTAATTAGGCTTAAAAAATTTATCTCGTAAATTAGTATCAATTGTGCATTTAGTTTAGTAATTAGTTTATATTTAATACTCTACGTATGTGTCAAATATCCGATGTGATAGGAGTTAAAGTTTGAGTCTGTCTATTACACAACTATGTGTTTTATGCAGTTTTAACACATGATTTTTTTTGCACCATAGGATTAAGATCCAACAGCCTCCACCTTTCTTCTACCTCCAACCTCCATAGATCACAGATCATAATTTTTTTTTGTCTATGGAAGAACAAATCACAGATCCACCGCCGCCGTCGTCACCGCCAATGCCATGGCCGGTGCGGGCGCGGGGAGGCGCGCCGGGCGCGGGTGTGGGCGCCGCCGCCGCCGCCGCCGCCACCGCCACTGCCATGGCCGGCGCGGGTGTGGGCGCCGGGGCAAGCTCGCCGGTTGCCGTCGTCGGCGCCGGTGGTCACCGGTGAGAAAGAGAGAGGGAGAGAGATAAAAAAAATCCATGTGTTTTTTTTTCTAAAACACATGTGTGTTATTTGTGTTATATAGCATTTCGGTAAAGTTTAGCATGCGGAAATGAACAACTGTTGAACCATCAGATTCTCTGTCAGCCCTTGTTTAGTTGGAGAAATTTGGATTTTGGGGCTACTGTAGCACGTTCGTTTTTATTTGGCAAATAGTGTTCAAACATGGACTAATTAGGCTCAAAACGTTCGTCTCGCAATTTCCCACCAAACTGTGCAATTAGTTTTTCTTTTCGTCTACATTTAATGATCCATGCACGGGCCACAAACATTCGATGTGACAGATACTGTAGTAACTTTTTGGAAGTTAGGGTGAAACTAAACAAGGGCTCAGTTTCAGTTTATGCGCCCATGTGGTGGCCGACAGCACCATCAGAGATATTCAGATTGCTGCGATGGAATGGGGGACCCCGACGCGGCAGGGGCCTGTGCCCACGTTTGCGCCGGCACTCGCCGTCGGCAGCGCAACAGGCCGGCCAGACGGCCCTTCTCCAGCCGTGCTGACGGCACGACGGTGACGTCATTGCGGGAGGCCGCACGTGACGTACTACTACGCCACCAGGGATTCCTCCGTCCGGGCGGCGTGGTGTTGTAGAGCGGTAAAGCTGCAGGCGTCGTCGCTCGGCCAGCAGGGGCCCGGCTCGCGGCGTGCCACCTGACAGCTGCTTTGCGCTTGCGCCCAAAGCAAAGCATCTGGGTACGGGTGGTGTTTCTATCGGCCAGTGGACTTTGTTTGATTCAAAAGAAATACTCCTAAGCATCAAGGAACGGATTTAATTTCCACAATATATATATATATATATATATATATATATATATATATATATATATATATATTATATAGTGCACACAAAAAATCATTGTACCTTCCAATCTCTTGATAATAACATATAACTCCGCCGGTCCTCTTTGTACTGCTTGTTGACTTCGTGGTGGGGCCATCTACTTTGCGGGGACGTGATGAGACGACAGGGAACGGCAGCGTATCGCCTACGGCCTACCGTGCCATGCTACACCCCTGCCTGCTTCACGCATCGAGCGCTCGACCGTCGACTTTTGCTGCCGTGTGTCACACAATGTCTCGATCCGCCTGGCGCTGAGGAACACTGCATTGACAATTATTTATTTATTACTCCCTTCATTTTAAATTATAAGTCGTTTTTATTTTTTATTTTTACATAAGTGCTATATCTAGATACTCCCTCTATCCCTAAATAAATCAATTTCTAAAATTCATGTTAGTCAAACTTTTTTTAAAGTTAGATTAACTTTATAAAAAAAATAACAACATGTATGACATAAAATGAGCATATACTCTATGGTACATCTAATAATACTAGTTTGATATCATAAATCTTGATATTTTTTTTAGAAATTTGGTCAAATTTTAAAAAGTTTAACTTAAGACAACTCCACGAATCGTAAGCGTAAGTCAAAGGGGGCAGGACCAGCGTTGCAAACTCCAGACCTCAACGTTCCGGTGGACGGATCAAATGCCATTGTGCCAGTAGGATTGGTGAACTCGAGAGTTTCCCAACTAGATGGTGGGTCGGAGTATAGTGGTGAAAGTATGCTGGAGTTGTTGAAGAAACAAAAGAGGGGTTCCAATTCTCAAAATGCAACATCGGCGGCGGCTGCGAGCGACAGCCCCCGACGAACATAATGAAAATCTTATTTTTGAACTACCGGGGTTTGGGACAACCTGAGGCAGTTCGAGATCTTCGTAGCTTATGTGAGCAATATCGTCCCATGGTCGTCTTCTTGTCGGAGACGCGTTTTTTTCTGGGATCGAGCGGATGGTCTTCGTAGTGCACTGGGATTCCCCCACGGCCTCGGAGTGGGCAGTTATGGCCGGGGAAGAGGTTTGGCGCTGCTTTGGAGAGACGAGGTAGAACTTCGGTTGCAAAGTTTGGACAAGTTACATATCGACGTAGCTGTCCTTGACCCGGTTACAAAAGTGGATAAGTGGAGGTTCACTGGTTTTTATGGGGAGTTACGGAGGGAACTCCGGTATAGGAGTTGGGACTGCCTGAAGCTACTCAATGACCGTAGCTCCCTGCCGTGGTTGTGTGCTGGCGACTTCAATGAAGTCCTTCACGCGTCAGAACAATTCGGGGCGTGGGGAGGACTGAACGCCAGATGGAGGGCTTCCGGGAGGCGGTGTCAATCTGTGGTTTTTTAGACTTGGGGTTTATTGGTCTCCCGTATACATGGGACAACCGTCAAGATGGAGATCACAATATAAAGGTCAGGTTGGATAAGGCATAGGGGCTTCGCAACAAACTCCTTCCTGGACATGTACCATGAGGTGAAGGTGTGGAACGTGCAAACGACGATGTCGGATCACTGCTGCTTGGTGATTGAGTGTTTAGAGCATTCGTTGAGCAGGAGAAGAAGAAAGAAGAATTTCTGCTATGAAAACATGTGGCAGCGTGACCCGTCTTATATGGCCCTCATTCGGGACTCTTGGGGACAGAATCCGGCTGGTCAGGATTTGGAGGCAATGCAGTCAAAACTGAGGGAGATGCAGGCCAGCCTCCAGACCTGGGATCGGAATGTTTTTGGGTCGGTTAAGAAAAACTTAGCCGATCTCCGAAATGAATTGGAATTGGAGCGTGGACGTTGTATAGGAGCTGGACCCTCACGCTATGAGAAGAGCCTGATGGCTCGGATTTCCGAACTGCTCTCACGTGAGGAGATGATGGAGAAGCAAAGATCAAGAGTGGAATGGCTGAAGGATGGTGACCGTAACACATCCTTTTTCAAGCAAAATCGCGGGCGAGAGCGAAACGCAATATGATCAAGTCTCTCAGTCGCGAGGATGGCTCGATCGCTGCTACACAAGAGGAGATTGAAGTGGTGGCGACTGAGTTCTATGAAAATCTCTTTTTGGCTCAAGAAAACTTGCAGACGGAAATAATTTTGGAACGTGTACCCAGCAAGGTGACCGAGGCTATGAACGAGAGGCTTACCCGGCCCTATACGGAGGTGGAAGTGGAGACTGCACTCCACCTGATGGGTGCCAACAAGGCTCCAGGCCCGGACGGGTTCACTGCTGGGTTTTACCAAATGCATTGGGACCTTCTAGGCAAGGAGGTAACGGCGGCGGTGCTAAATTTCCTCAATGGAGGTATGCTGCCAGAGAACATAAATCATACTACTATTGTTCTTATTCCCAAAACAAGATCTCCCCAGTCTATGAAAGAATTTAGACCAATTTCTCTTTGTAACGTGCTGTATAAGATTTGTTCAAAGGTTTTGGCTCTAAGACTGCGGGAGTTTTTGGATGAGATTATCTCGGAGGAGCAGAGCGCATTTGTACCGGGCCGGCTGATAACTGACAATGTGCTTATTGCTTATGAATGCATCCATTATCTCAAAAGAAAGAAAGGGAAGGCTAGTGCTTGTGCCATCAAACTTGATATGGCCAAGGCCTATGATCTGGTAGAATGGGAATACTTGAGAGAAATTATGTTGAAGCTCGGTTTCCATTCAGACTTCGTGACTCTGGTGATGAGATGTGTGACAAAAGTGTCTTTCTCAATCAGGGTTAATGGTGTTCAAACTGAAGCCTTCAGACCAACACGACGTATTAGACAAGGGGACCCTATATCACCCTATCTTTTCCTTTTGTGTTCGGAAGGCTTATCTTGTCTCTTGAAATCTTTTGGTCCAATGCACCTGTTAAGGGGTGTTAGAGTTGGCATACACTCCTGGATTTCGCATCTTCTTTTTGCGAATGATAGTATTGTTTTCTCTGAAGCATCGCAAAGAGGGGCCGAAAGATTCATGGAGATTCTTGAAATATATAATCGTGGTTCAGAACAGCTGGTGAATCGGGAGAAATCAGCGGTCTTTTTTAGCAAGAATTGTCCTCAGTATGCAATGCTCTGAATATTCATAAGGTGGCGCGCTTGCTGAAAAATATCTTGGCTTACCAACTGAAGCTGGAAGAAGCTTGAGTGGTCTGTTTGAATTTCTACCAGCCCAAATCAGAGGCAAAATTGATGGGTGGTGTGGCAGAGAAGCAAGCTGCGCGGGACGTGAAGTTTTGATCAAATCTATTGCGCAAGCAGTGCCAACGTACT